CTTGACGAGCCACTACGAATAGGCCTTGTGCAATTCACTCGATTTTCTCTTCGCGCCACATCTGCCTATAGAGAAAATGTCATCGAAGCTCTAAACATCCCATACAACTCCGTGAACTCTACGCTGAAGAATCTCCCCATGGTTGGCAAAGATCACCTTGTGAATTCGCCAATTCATGAATCTTATGGAGATCAAGGCTTCGTGGATTGACACAACCCAAAAGATCTTCCACTAGCCACCATATAAGACTTGCTGTGGGTTTAGCCCTGAACCCAGCCAGCGCAGTTCTCAGCAGTCCTCTCGACAACCTCGGCAGGCATCTCGCCCGACTTGTAGACTGCGGCTAGCAAGCTCCAGACAGGTGGTCATCTTCGAAACTTCGCAGGGTGGTGGAGAGATAACCTTGGACGGATGGGTCTTCACACATTCCCGGAGAAGAGAAAAACCTGGCAGACGCTCTCTCTCTCAGAGCATGGTCCATCCTACCAAGTGGACACTTTAACCTAAGCTTACAAAACTTGTAAGTCACAACTTGTGATTTACAGTTTTGTAAGTAAGCTTCTGTGGGGTCCTGTGAGAATTGTTAAAATCACCTTCTTAATGGACCCCGAGTTAAGCATTTGAGTGTTACCTTCGTTATTTTAGAACACTACATGCTAGTGTAACAGCCAGATAGGGCCTTCTTGATGACATTTTGTCCACTTTTATATGCTATGAACTGAAAACAAGCAAGGGAATTGAAATAAATGAATGCAAAGTTCTATTTAGCTTCCCTCCTTCACACTTTTAAGGCTCAAAACATTCAACCATTGTACAAAAAAACAAATGAAAATTCCAGCATTGTCTTGCTTTTTTTTTCTTACAAAATTCAAACTTGTCTACACAATGAAAGCATCATGACATACAACAGATAGCACTAAGCACTGGTGGGTACACAAGCATAAAAAGCTATGCTAATTGACTTGTAGAAAACCATATAAACTGAATTAACCGACACATTAATGAAACATAAAAGAAAATGCTATCTTGCCAATGAGGTTCCACCTACTTTCAACCAGCCATATCAAGAGTAAGTTCTTGATCATGTTGCTATTTAGGAAATATCGGATTGTACACTAAACTTTCTGACTAAATTTTTGAATTTTATTATTATTTGAAAGGAAGTCTTTTAGCTGCAAAATGATTTCGGAAGCCGAATAACAAAACCAAGACCTCTGTAACTGTTACATGAAAATTACCAACACCGAGTGATAATATACTTCCTTTATTTTAGGGGTTTTATAATTTCCCTAAAAAATGTGAATGTGACCCTGCATACATGCCTTCCCACTCGCCCTTATTTTTAGATCAAACAGCTGGCAATGCTCATTTACTGCCCCTCCGAAATACAACCAACAAATGGCCAAACTACATGCACATTGGAAGCAAAACTCAAACTTGATTGTATGACTGCATTTTACAAAAACGGGTCTTTACAGCAAAATTATGCTACATATAAGTGGCAGCATTAATAATGAGTATAACTGTTTCACATGACACGTTTATGAGATGTTCCATTTTTATGGGGTAAAATGTGTGATCAAAAGTGCAGTTTAGTTATTACATCTTAACACCACAGATATGTGAATTATGGACTGAATACAATGGCTTGGATGCACGATTATTTCAAAGTGGTTAAATATAAGCTAGTATCAAGGTTTGTACTGGTAGTATTAAGATACAGAAAACAAGACAAGAAAGAAACAGTTTAAAATGTAACTTGCAATACGTGCATCAAGGTAGCACGCTAGAAGAAAGCAAACTACTTAATGGTTTGTTATTAACGCCTTGCATTCTATACTTTACTGAAGTACAGATTTATTGAATGCTCTCCTCACTGGTTCATATTAACAATAATGAAGTCTGCCTCAATAAGATCTTGCTATTTCTTAAGGTAAACTCATTCAATTACAATGGACAAATCGCAAGAACAATGAATTATACACACAAAACATAATACATATTTGAAAATATAAAGAAAAAATAAACATAATATTACCCAATAAAAGTTGTCCGTACTTCAAAATGCCTTTTCAATGTTGAAAATTATACACTTACATCACTCGACTCCAAAAAACTAAGCACAGATATGCCTGTTCAATGCAGTCATGCAGTCAAATACAGCGTAGTGCCTTTGTACACGCTTTACAATCACAGGGTCAAGAATACTAAAAGACACTTCTAAACTAATTTTATAGTCACAATTGCCACACCTCATACATATTCACATACAAGGGCTGAATTCTCATTGTTCCATTCCTCATCACGTGCCAGTCGTTACTTTAAATGTTTACTGGGCATCCATGCTCGAACACTAGTACTGAACTGTTTATAGACTGCTGCACCAGTAATGTACACTGCCTTTCCCTTGCTCCAGAAATTTAAATGGCAATATGCCTTTTACGAGTTAACTTCGACCCAAATCTGGTACGCAGAGTTCTTTACATTTATGTGAACATAACTACTTGAATTCTCCTTCATAAAACCACGGTTACTATACCTTATGATTCGGAGCAAGCTTTTGCTTAGTTACATAACAGACGCCTTGCAACAATACACTGTTCTCAATGGATAAGAAGGGCACAAAGGAACCAGTCCATTCCAGAGATGGTCGTCGCTATGCAAAAGCTTGCCCGAATAACGAGGTATAGCAATAGTGTCTTTAGTCTGAGGAAGTCAAATTGTTATGTTTATGTGCAGGTAACTCAGAGTACCAGATTTTATTCAAATGTAACTCGCAAATGGCTTATTGAATAAGTATTAAGGTATGAAAAAACAAATATAATATGGTTCACGGTCGATTTTAGCTCCCTGGAACTTGGAAAATTACATCGTTTGGCTAAACTGATGAGGAATGGAAGTTAACACAGTAGCTCCCTTGCTTTGCATTGGGAACAAGTTTGTCAACTTCCAATACCTCTATGAATTCAAATTTGACTATCCAAACTGTAATTCTATTCATATACTGGTACATGTTCCAACTATGCATTTCAGTGAAATTTATAAATAATGACAGACATGAAGCATGAGTTGCATAACCAAGCAAAAACTCACCTTTTTTCCCTGCAAAGGATTCATAACTAAGAAATCTACAACGTACTGGCTGGGTGTTTGATGGGCGTAAGAAATTGGTCAAAATGCTCAAAATTCACGTTAGATGGATAACTTCCCATTTTCTTTTCATTCTGTGCTGGTCATTACTCACTATTGCTAATCTGAGTGCTGTAAGAGTGAATAATCTATATTTTAATTTAAACTGTAGACACATTTAATCCAACATTGAACTATCTGGTGTACTATACAAGCACCAACTTCTGTATACCAAAGAAATCAAAATGTAATAATCCATTAGTTTACCCCATGTATGACCCTTTCTCAATCTGCATTAACCGAGCATGTTTTAATGGAAGCAGGTATCTTCATAAAACCAGAAACGGAAGACAACTTTCTTATGATAGACTTTGTCCCAAAGCATGCACCAATGATGATATGGAAATGCAAAGATCCTTTCAACTTGTTTACCGTCTGAAGTGCTTGTTTACATTTCTGAAAAAGATGTCCCAATTCCACTGTATTTTTCATTGCGGATGATTTCACTGCGGATAACTTCAAAAATAAAAATGTTACAATTACGTCTTAGCATAACGTTAGCTTAATGATTCCTTTCACTTTCCAGGAAAGCTGACTGATCGAGCTTTTCAACTTATTAAAATGCTCAATTTGTAACAAAAATGTCCGACATCTTCGCTTGATCATTTGCGACATCACAATACAATTCTATAAAATGTGCAAATTTCTACAGATCCTGCAGGAGGTTCATCCCAACCGTGCTAATACATGAAAAAACCCATGTTTTGTAATTTAATGGGTAATGGCTAGGAAGAAACAACTTTGCCTGAGCTTGTCAGAATTAAAAAACTCTGTTTTATGTCACTGCTAAAAAGACATAACCAAAATACCCGATTAAGAGTGCTGAACATCACAACTTTGGCTGCATTGCTTTCTAAGTTTTAGCTTGAAGTTAACTGAATACATAAATCAACTGAATAAATTATTTACAAAGGTAAAATCTAAGGATACACTCAACTACTTATGTAATTTTTTTATAATGAATGCAGCACGAACCATTCTACCAAGTACTAAAATATTAACCACTGAATACAGGTTTAAAAGTTACTGAATACTTTATTGGCACTCATGCATTTAACTTAATTAAATTTAAGTGTCATACAAAAAGGTGAATACAACTTCATAGGTATGTGTACATCCAACTGCACTACAAAGATATTTACCAATAACCAACTCATCCACATCACAACCTATTCCTATTCCTTGGCCTAGACACAGAATTAATGGTACATAAAAGCAAATACTACTTATCCTTAAAAAAAGAATGAGCATAAAACACTACCCAGCACCAATTTAACACCTCGAAGCTGGAGATGTGTACAAAAGCCCTCTATTCTACATCAATACAGAAACATTCAAGAAGTTGAAATGTAAACATAGTACAAAATACGTCTTACCGCATAAGATACTTCATGATTTTTACAAATTATTAAAAAATTAAACAATAAAGTGGGCATGCTATAATGACTTAAGTACTTTGCTTTGATTTGGACAAATACCGATTCAACTGTAATTAGCATACACTTGAATACATGATGGATTCCCATCCTGACCTTTAGAAATGGAATTATATCAAACACTTTCCTCTTTGTAAAGGTGCATGCCTGCCAGAAGAGAACCCACAACTCATAAACACTATCACAGCTAAATCAACAGGGAGGATTTATCCTGGGCATCAATTTAAAATGTCATTAAGACACAGAAAGCTGTATTCATAACTAAAATTGCAGTGCATGCATGCCACAAACTTGACAAGTTTACCAATGTAGATTTTCAGTCATATTACTTTTACAAAGAAAATACACTCCATCAATGAGTGATGATGTGTACACAAAGGATCCATTACTTGTTTTGTTTTGTTCTGATTTGCTTAGGCCAGTAGATAAAATCTAAATAAAGACCTTTAGAAGTCTCATATTCCAAAATTATAACCCCAAGGGCAAACCTCTAAAAGATTTTTTTTTTGCATGAGCATCATGCAATGTGGCGTCAAAATAATCTGGCTCATTGCACCAACTGACTGAATATGCAATGTTAACATTTCTGAGACCCAATGATCAAGACAAACATAAAATTAGACAGGTACATACCAAATATTCAACATGATGTTCCTCCGTTATCAAACAGGGAACTTGTTGACACCTACAATAATCAGTGAATGGACTGGATTACATGTTCCACAAGTAGATGTTTCGATGAACAATTTAGAAGACAGTGGCAGTATTTGCAGAACAGTAGGAGAGTAAATGTATAATTGGTATGAGTTGTATGATAAGTGAGCCATCCTACTATGTTTGTTTCATGTGAAGTGATCAAACGATCCAAGGTATTCATAGGCTGCACGGTAACAGAACTGGTACTGATCCTGTATTAAGAAAATGAAAAGAAAAGCAAATAATGCAAATAATTACATCTCCACTGGGAACAACAGCATATCCAACTTTGAAACATGTATTGTCGGGCACGAGTTGGTGGGGTAGACCTAGCCCCTACCCTCCACCCCCACCCGGGGATGGCTTAACTATACAGCTACATGAACAAGAAATTTAAAATGGTTTATTTTACAACACTGTAAATTATGGTGTTCTTTACAAAGCACACATAGAAATTACAAAGTGCAAATGGAGTGCCCATTTGGAGTAGTAATTACTGTTCACACTGCAAATGAAGCACTGTGGCAGTGAAATAAGTACTGAAAACAGAAAATACAGAAAAATAATATGTGCACATGAAGAAAACTAGTTCTGTGAATAAACTTGTAGATATCAATTGGGTTTCCAATTTTTTTCGTGTCCCTGTCACATCTGATGTGAGTTTTTAAGTTCAGAACACATTATCTAATCTCCCCCCCCCACATACGTGCGGGTTGAGTCTGCTAGAGAATACCTACCCAAACAGTCAGTACATATGCAAATTCCCTATGTGCCTATTGTTATTTGCTGAAAAGACTTGATCATCTATAGTGTATCTTGACCTCCCACAATGCATAGTGGTGACACCCCCATGTTTGTCCTTTCGAAATTGATTCAGGTTGGAGCCAGAGTGGGGAGGATGGGTGGGTGAGGACTGTTTCTGTGCGTAGGAGTTTACTGTATTCAACCTACCCAAACAGTCCCTACATATGCAGAGTGGCACCAGTCTTAGATGGCGGTTGGCTACGACTCATGCACTGAACATGATGTACACAAATTGGTGAATTGCGAATTATAAACTTATGTAGAAGCAAGTCAAAGACCAGAGCCATACTAGCTAGGTCATCAGGACGACTTGTCATCTGTCCCATCTGCAGGAGGTCACCTTGACCTGTGCTGTTGATTGTTAAGATATTCTTGCCATGTGCAGAGTTGCCCTGCAAGGTGTCCCTGCCAAAAAGTCGATGGACGGGATTAGACAGAAATTATGCAGCTGCCAATATGGGTGATGTTCGGCAGAGTGGGCATGCAGTATACTATCTCATCCGGAGACATCCACAGCGAGGAGGAGGATGGATTGGTGCTGGCATGCAATATGGAGATGTCAGTGAGGGGCTCCAACAAAAAGGGGGAAATAGTAAACGGGAGGGCTTTTGCTTAGGTCCCCAGACATAACTAGCTGCTTAGTACAAGGATGTTCACTGGACATACCACACAGGAAATGAAGGGCCATATCATCAGCAACCAAGATGTAACCAATGATGGCGTGCCATATTTTCTCCCTCTCGTGCTGTTCTTGGCGATTGCGGCAGTAATAAGACACAGCAGAAGCCAGGTTCATATTCCCCTTCAGAGAAGTGTTCTTTGTCTGACATCCGAGCTGCCGGAGTATGATAATGGTATTCGGAGCAGTGCCTCTTCTTGGGTTTCGATTATTACTTATCCTTGCCTTTCTATGTAATAGGCGATTCAGTGGCTGAGGCGGCGGATGTGGCCGTAGAGAGTGGATCACCAGAGAGGCATTCCTAGTCAAGGTCAGCCAGAACTGCAGAATTCCGGGCAGAGAGACCAGATGGAGTTAAGGTCATATGGCCCAGAGATGCCCACTTGGAAACCGGAGCTGCAGATAGGCTGTGGTGGTTAAATCCTCAGCGGTGTAAGAGCCCAGTAGGCTCTGTGGTACCCCCTGAAGATTTAGCGGGTGCCGCAGTTTCGTGGTCCGACGACGCATCAGGTGAGCAAGTCCAGATGCTCACGGGGAGCATGGCCTGATGTCTTCACCATCTGGGCTGGTGGAAGTACAATTGGAAGCTGCCAGAGAAATGGTCTTTTTTGCCGATGTTGATGAGCAGCGGCTGGTGCTCTTTAGAGTAGCCGGGGAAAAACTGGCACCAATGCTGTGTTGATTCCTCTGGGCCATGGTGGTCAGAGGATGTGGCGTACTTCACAATGATGGTAGGACAAGCCTAGGAGGTTGGGCCGTTCTCGGGAGTCCCAGCTCACTCTGCAGGCTAGTGATTGACCAAGAAGACAGGGGGCCTTCCCAGACCCTAGCATTAACCCTGCTCAAGCGGTCATCCACAGTCAACCATGGAATTTCCCAGTCAGCTCCGTGTGGCCGAATAAACCAGGGGGCCTGGCAAGATTCTAGCCAAAACCCCTGGTCACCAGCTAGGCCTTTTCCTCATCCGGGTTGCTGGAGAAAACGGGGGGAAGAGCCTCGTGGTACCAACAGTAAACACCTAGGGCCGGCGACCATTTAGACCCATCTTGAAAACAGCAATACCAACATCTTGAAAACATTTACACCCAGTTTGAAAAGGGCCCCCCGGTAGCCCACCCTGTATAATTCCTGCCCGGTATTCAGGCTACTCCAGGCCGGTATCAGGCCTGTCTGCACATCGACATTTCAAAGTCCCTGATGGAAGGATTCTCCCACCATGCCCGACAGATGAATAGGGGTCTAAGCAGATAAGTGTAAACATTGTATAGAGCTGAAGCTTTAAAAACCACAAGCAGGTTCCTCCTGGGATAGATTACATGTACCAGTACTTGCAAACAATAGACCCCAGGATGGAGAAGTTCGAGATCAACAACCAGTCCAGCATCCAAGGCCGGTAGCCAGGCCGGTATGAAAGGGGTTTTTGCATCAGGGCGAGCTTACCGGGGGGCCCTTTTCAAACCGGGTCTAACTAGTTGCCGGCCCTTACAGGGTGCACACACAAAAGACTGAAGGAAAGAGCACAAGATATACATGAAAATTACACTCTATACAAACAGATAGGTGAAAATCAAGGTAATACTTTATTCAGAAAGGATGGATGGATGATCAAATCGACACAGAACCATTTAGGGAAAACCGAAGCTTGAGAAATCGAAGATGCCTCGAAAGACACGTCCATCACGTGACGGCGCTGAGAAAAGGATGATCATGGCGGCAAGGCTGTGCTGCAGTGTGGGAGGTCAGGGTGCATAACGGTGATCAAATCTCTTCAGCGAAAAAATAGGCAGGGCATGGCAAATATGCATATGTAGTGACTGTTTGGGTAGGTAGAGTGCAGTAGACCAGAGTGTTGCTACATACCTCTGTTTGAACCATAGCTGGTCGTTGAGTTCGCAAGATCTTGACTGTTTGGTACATGTCGACGACACTCTCGAATCGCATTCTTTCAAGAACAATGCTCAGGGTGATAAACACACCAGTTCGTCCAACTCCAGCACTGAAAGAGAAACAAGCAAAAGAGTTTCTACATATGGGGAAGCATTAACACAAATGGCAAGACAGGTTCCCAGTTTCCAAATGCTACAGTTTATTTCTACAGTTCTCCTATGTGCTTGTCTCTGAAGGAGAGTCAGAAAAAATAAAGCTCAGAAAAAACCTAATAGAAATGGATATTAATAAATGATGACAAAAGAACAGTCTCAAATTTTTTTTATGGTTGGGCTCGGTTAGTCTGGACAACATCTTTGCTTTTTTGGTAGTTTTGTTTTCTTTTTCTAGACGATAAGCCTCTGCAACTTTTCTTTGAGACCACACAAGGTAAGTCGGTAATTTCATAACCCTAAAATAGTGGAACTTCCACTGTTCAGACTTACATGGGAATTTTGCAGCTATCACTACTCGTAAGAAGCTTACTGCCAACAGAATTTTAATTCAACCAGGATCACTTTAAAGTGTAAAAAAAGCTGTAGGATAGGAACTGTCCAACATCATAGACAATGACCTCAGCCTGGTGGATCACATTTTACAGATAACATTTGGGTAGTGCAACAACAACATTATTGGTGACAACTCAAAGTAGCCATCTGCATGGTCCATTATAAACAAAACTACACACTGGATCAGATTGAAAGCGAATACGGCAGTGGAAAGAAATAGGTAAAACAGTTGCAACATTTGTTTCGGCATTCATATATCACTGGATATGACCTCAAAGATACACACTTCGAAATTTGTTATTGCAAAAGTACACTTCCAATCGTATCAAGAGCATGTATATGTACATTCACAAGCAGAAATCTGTTACATAGTCAAACAGCAAAATGATGTTAATGCCACCCCATGACAGTTTATGACAAATATCACAAAAATTCCAAAAAATAAAATGAAAAGCTGCTGTTTTTTCTGTCTATGCGAATTGCTTCACCAACTTTTTTATGTGAAAGATGCTTGTATTTATGTTTCCCTACTTACATTCAAAAGTTTTAAGAGACATAATAAGTTCAAGATGTATTTTTGCATTGGGGAGATGTTAATTTAAATGACAGGTTTTGCCCTTACCCAACTTATATATTTATGAACATTGTACGCTCAGTGCTTGTCCGAGAGCTTGCGAAAAAATTTACAAGCTTACTCAGGTAGGACTTGACCCCACGACCTCCTGCTTACTAGTGCAGACGTCTTAACCACTCGACCACCAAACTTGCTGGGGTCGGCTGGCTGGTCCAAGTAAGGTGAAGCAGCGGGTACCGCGAACTATTTTCAAGATGTAATTTTTTACATACGTTGGGGAGATGTTAATTTATATGACAGGTTTTGCCCTTAGCCAACTTATATATTGATAAACACTGTATGCTCAGTGATTGTCTGATACAATTGTGAATTTTGGCAAGCTCGGTGGTCGAGTGGTTAAGACGTCTGCACCAGTAAGCAGGAGGTCAGGGGTTTGAATCCCATCCGAGTAAGCTTGTAAATTTTTTCACAAGCTCTCAGACAAGCACTGAGCATACACTATGAATCTCAACACCGCAAAAATATAGTTTCCACTTAATTCACCGTGAAACTTCCTTACACAGCAAAGTAAGCCCATTTTCACGGTGCGGAATTAGCCTGCTTGGCCGGGGATTAACTCATTGCAGTTTCACGGTGTTTTTGCACAGGCGTCCTGGAGGCTAAGCGCTCTATTGTTATTCATAATGGTTTGGCGGAGGGAGCTTCCCACCAGTGGAGGTGCTAAAACCCACAGATTAACGGCCCGATAGATTACAGGATCAGTGTGACTGACAGGCACATTGGCCATGCAACTAACACACAAGGAAAAGCACCCACATACATGTACGAGTACTTCACTGAAGAACGTTGACTTCAATAATTTGCTCGAAGTTTACCCAAATGACCACCCTTAATGTATCACTTTTTCATGTACATGAGACCGCTTTTATTAGGCCGACAAATACAGTTTGTCTTGCGATTACATTTCCTCTGCTGAGGGTCGGTCCGGGGAGGTCGTTTTTTGGGGGGGTGGGGGGTTCTCATGCTGACTGAATGGCATGAATTGGACATCTTTCAACACCTGTCTCAATCTATGTAAAAATTTCTGCAGTCGATATACAATTCACAAGAATTACGGATATTTCACTCTGTGATTCTGACGCAATCACGAGGGTAAACTGGCCCAAAACGTACGTGAAGATATATCCAGACTAGCGGGCGATAAACCTTGTGCCGCGGCAGGAAATTTGTTGAAACACGCTCTCTTCAAGTACGAGCAAAACAACCTCAAATTAAACTTATAAATGCAGCTGATTCATATATATAAACAAGAGACCACTTTCTGTGAATTAATTGCAGAAAAGCTTTTGCAAAATTCGACCTAGAACGGCTGCAGCTTTTGGTGTCAAGCGCGTATGGCTGGTGTGGAGTCCAATGCTCGACTACAACTCGTCTTGGTCTTCAACTTTGAAGTTGTAAGCACAATGGTTAATCTGAAAATGCCACAAAACATCGAATAATATTCAAAAGAGCCTGGATTTACAGTACATGTATTTTCAATTTATTAATTCAAACGCTTCAAGCCCACAATCGGAAATTGGCTCCGAAGTCGAAGCCTAGCATTGGAGACAAACGGTATTCGGGACAACGGCCGACTCGACTCCACATGTACAGGTTGGTTCTGGTTGTACATTTACATGTACGTCATGCATTCTTTCGCATTGGCGTGGCGGCAACCAGAGCTCCTTTGTTTAGGCATTGAGCTCTACGTACATGTCTCCACCACTGCGACAGTGAAACGGGAACTCATGAAAATAACAGCTGTTTTTTTCGAAAGTTGCGAAATGTAATTAGGAAAACATACTTATCAAGCATTTTAATGTGAGAAAAGGTTATTGAAAGATGTTTTGTGAAGGCAGAAAAGACATCAACGTGAAACTAATATTTCAGCCAAAATTCAGCACCGTGATTTGTTTGTGATGATGCTGATCGTAATGAATAAAACCATGATTTGCACAAAATAAACGGTTTCTTTAAATTACAAAGTATTTATATCTAAACATTAGGGTGCGTTTCTTACTTGCATAGTATTTCAGAGAAATACAGACCGATGCAAATAATTGAAACGCAAATAATTGAAATGCGAGTTTGTTTGCTCGATTATTACCACAACCAAAAATGCACTGTTGATAGCAAAAGTCTTCAATGATCTCTCTCCATATTAAGTTTTCCTAGCGTAACACACCAAGCAAAAACGTAGTAGATGTACATGTGAAGTCCTGACATATCTTTTCCTGCTTTCCACATTTTAATTGTCTATGGCAGAGAACAAACATACCTGGATGAAGACTCATAATAAACGTAAGTACTGCAGGGTCTATTTTTATTGTTTTTATCGTGGACACAACAGAGCAGTGGACCACCAAAGCAACACATAGAACGGATCACTTTACCATAAAATATTTGTCATGTTACTAAAGCTAACATTGAAAAGGTTTTACACAGTGAGGATGGATCCAAATTCTCGTCCTAGCTACTAGAATTTTAGGGGTAGCCAATAGTTTCATATTTTTCACATTCCCATGGTGCATGGCATAAACCTGAGGATTCTAAACCTGTCTTGGTTAACCAAAATATAAAATTACCTCTGATTTTGAGCACAAAGAGCTGTTATTGAACACACAATCTTACTACATGTACAATGTACTGAAAAATTGTTTCTGATATGACAAATGTAGTTTTACAAGATCTCTCAAGTCCAGCAGAAATATCATGATGACATGTTCCTAGTGAAACCCTTTAGCTCCAATACTGATATCCTTGATGAAGAACAAATTTAGTACTCTCACATCCAGCATCGGAAGCTGGAAAGGGAAGTCAGTAACAGCACAACTATACACTTGAACTTGAGGGAACAATAATTGTAAAAAATAAGCAAATCATTCCCCATCGTTCTCGTTCCCCAGTTGCTCTGACCCACACGGCCCACAGCCAATTTCTATGGATTTGCACGGCCTAACATCGGTTCAATAAGCGTCAGAGTGTGTCCAGTTTTCAGATGCCAATTTTTCGACCTCAAGAGCAATTAAAAGATACACTGTACTTCTGAATATCAAAAATGGTATGAGCTATCATGTGGAAACCCTATACAACTATTCAACTCCAGGGGTTGGTTTGAAGTTCATCAAAACGAAATCCGTGTGATATAAATGGTGAAGGAAATCAGAAACGATGATGCGGTACAGTGTCAAGTATGCCACCACCCAGTACTAGATTAATTCACAATTTTAAAAATCTAACGAAGGTCGCAGCGATGAAATTCGAAAGGACGCTTAATCAACATTTGGACTACACGCTAACATGTGCCCTTTTCCAAGGAAAACTCAATATTGGGTGAAATAACATAAAAAAGAGGGGTTGGTTTTGGCCAGTTTTCAGCAGCATTTACTGATCTTAACCTTAATTTTAATAATATAAATTATTAATTGTCAAACAAGAAGAATCCTTACCTTAAAGGTCTGCTATTCACCTCATATTTAGTCTTAGAAAAGTTTGTTTACTTTTATTGCTTAAACCCCCTTCACAATAGCAAGAGAAGGCATAGACATCTTTCCACGCGCATGTGTACTAACTAAATTTCCAGGTCGAACATACAAGTACGTGACAAAGCAAACAGCAAAGATGCTGACAAAGAGATTGTTCAAGGTCAAAATCTGTGAGTAAAATGAAAATACACTTGGAGTAGTTGGAGGGTTTTTATCCAAAGCAATGACACTGGGGGTGAAGATTAAAACAGTTACAAAACCTGATCTGTAGACATGATTTACTTTCGAAATTAATTTTTTGTTTTTAGTGTGTAACTTTTTGTCAGCATCTTTCAAGCAACGATTCTGCAGAAGTATATGAATCAGGAATTGTGATATAGTACATGACAAAAATGTCCCTATGAGGCTGACGTACTTCAGGTTGAAATCTAAAATCCACAATACTCCATCATCATCCACAGCA